AACTGTTGGAGATTTTCTTGATCAACTCGTGTGCGCTTCCTTACTTAGTAGATTGCTTTTCAAATAAAGCTGCATTCCATTTTATGAAACTGTCGCCTCTGTAGGACCAGTTTTGCTCCATGTAAAAGCCTGGTCTGACCCGGATGGCCCAAGCGAGCCTGATCGGATCAGATCTTGGAATCTGTGGTGGCTCAAGTGGTTAAGACGCTGAACTGCAGGCTGTGGAAGGTCAGTAGTTCAGCAGTTCGAGACCTGAGTGTGCCGCATGACGGAGTGAGCTCCCGTCTCTAGTTCCAGCTCCTGCCAACCTAGCAGTTCGAAAGCAAGAAATTGCAAGTAGATAAATAGGGACCACTTCGGTGGGAAGGTAACAGCGTTCCGTGCACCTCGGTGTTTAGTCATGCCGGCCACATGACCACGGAAACGTCTTCGGACAGCGCTGGCTCTTCGGCTTTGAAACGGAGATGAGCACCGCAACCCTAGAGTCGGACTCGACTGGCTTTCGAGCAAGGGAACCTTTACCTTTAAAAGCCTGGTCTGGCCCGGATGGCCCAAGCTAGCCTGATCGGATCAGATCTTGGAAGCGAAGCAGAGTCGGCCCTGGTTAGTACTTGGTGGGGAGACTACCAAGGCAGTCCTGGGCTGCAACGTAGAGGCAGGCAATGGCAAAGCCACCTCTGTTCACCTCTTGCCTTGAAGATCACATGGGGCCACCCTAAGTTGGCTGTGGCTCAGCAGCACTTTCCGCAACCAAAAGCCTGAACTGGGCAGATCTTTACCAAAGTCAAAGGAAGAGGTGAGGGAACCACATGCTTGTTTTAGTAATTTAGATCTAGGCTTTGGCCTTGACATCAGTTTCAGGGTCAATTAGAGCAGGGAGGGTGCCTGGCAAAGTTTGTTCCTTTATTTGAAGAAGAGCTTTTGAAGAGTCAAGATGGATTCGGTTTAGCTTCTAGAATGACTAGACTGACGTATCTGTACAAACCCAGTGGGGCAATCAGGCAGTGAAAAGGCCGTTTCTTGACGGGATGATGGAATGCAACTGGAGTGGAGAGTAGCTTGGGTGGTGAAAATTGCCCTCAAGTCGCGGCTGATTTATGGCAACCCCATAGGGACGGCAAAGGATGAGATGGTTAGACAATGTCATCGATGCAACAAACATGAAATTGAGCAAACTTCAGAGGACGGCGGAAGACCGGAAGGCCTGTCGTGATCTGGTCCATGGGGTCGCGAAGAGTCGGACTCGACTGTGCGACTGAACAACAACATAGGATTTTCAAGTCAAGAGATATTCAGAGGTCATTTGCCATTGCCTGCCCCTGTGTAGCAACCCTGTGCTTCCTTGGTGATCTCATATCTAATAGGGTGGCCAGCCCTCCTGCTGGAGGTGGGGGATCCCCTGGCACCAGGCTCCACCCCCTGTTGCAGTCAGCCAGCTGGTGGAGGGACATACCAGGAACATGAGGGGAGTCCCAGGCTACGTCACTGGTGATGTCACTTCCAGCATGTACCAGAAGTGACGTCAGCACTGTTGCAGCAATGCTCTGGTATTTTGGGTCAAAACTATGGTAGGATCCATTTTTACCATAGAGTTTTTGTCCTAATAACAGAGTGCTGGTGCGATGTTGCAATGTGATGACATCACTTCCAGTACGCACCGGAAATGATGTCGCAAGATTGCCGGCAATGTAGGCTGGGCCTCCTTCCCGCTCCTGGTAAATCTCCCCCCCCCCCCAAATCCCTCCCGGGTGCCCAGGGGGGATCTCATATCTAATAGGGTGGCCAGCCCTCCTGCTGGAGGTGGGGGATCCCCTGGCACCAGGCTCCACCCCCTGTTGCAGTCAGCCGGCTGGTGGAGGGACATACCAGGAACATGGGGGAGTCCCAGGCTACGTCACCGGTGACGTCACTTCCAGCATGTACCAGCACTGTTGCAGCAATGCTCTGGTGTTTGGGTCAAAACTCTACGGTAGAATCCATTTTTACCATAGCGCTTTTGTCCTAATAACAGAGTGCTGGAGCGATGTTGCAATGTGATGACATCACTTCCAGTACACACCGGAAATGATGTTGCAGGATTGCCGGCAATGTAGGCTGGGCCTCCTTCCCGCTCCTGGTAAATCTCCCCCCCCCCCCCTTCCCTTCCTGTTTCCAGGGGGGGCC